GTTATAGGGCTTATACTGGTTCATACTGGTCATACTGGTCAATGGTGGCCATACTGGTTATACTGGTTATAGGGCTTATACTGGTGATACTGGTCATACTGGTTATACTGGTTATGGGTCTTAGAATACTGGTCATGCTGGTTGTACTGGTTATAGGGCTTATACTGGTTATACTGGTCATAGTGGTGAGAGAGCTTATACTGGTCATACTGGTTATAGGTCTTAGGATACTGGTTATACTGGTCATAGGGCTTATAGTGGTCATACTGGTTATAGGGTTTATACTGGTTATACTGGTTGTAGGGCTTATACTGGTTATGGAGTTTATACTGCTCGTAGTGGTTGTACTGGTTATAGGGCTTATACTGGTTGTACTGGTCATACTGGTTACAGGGCTTGTACTGGGGATGCTGGTTATAGAGGTTATACTGGTCCATACTGGTCATACTGGTTATAGAGTTTATACTGGTCATACCGATCAACACTGGCCATACTGGTTATACTGGTTATAGGACTTATACTGGTCATACTGGTTGTACTGGTTATAGAGGTTGTACTGGGGGTACTGGTTATACTGGTCATAGTGGTCACACAGGTTATAGGGCTTATACTGGTTCATACTGGTCATACTGGTTATGGGTCTTCAAGTCAGTATGCTGGTCATACTGGTGATAGAGCTTATACTGGTCATACTGGTCCATACTGGTTACAGGACTTATACTGGGGATGCTGGCTATAGGGGTTATACTGGTTCATACTGGTCATACTGGTTACACTGGTTACAGGGGTTATACTGGGGATACTGATGATAGGGCTTATACTGGTTATACTGGTCTGTACTGGTTATACTGGTCATAGGGCTTATACTGGTCATACTGGTTACAGGATTTATACTGGGGATGTTGTCTATAGGATTTATACTGGTCATACTGGTCATACTGGTGATAGGGTTTATACTGGTTATACTGGTCATACTGGTTATAGGTCTTAGGATACTGATTATACTGGTTATAGGAGTTATACTGGTGATACTGGGGATACTGGTTTTACTGGTGATGCTGGTTATAGGGCTTATAGTGGGGATGCTGGCTATTGGGGTTATACTGGTCATACTGGTTGTACTGGTCATGGGGCTTATACTGGTCATACTGGTTATAGGGCGTATACTGGGGATGCTGGTTACAGAGGTTATACTGGTTATACTGGTCATACTGGTCGTAGAGCTTATACTGGTTATACTGGTCATACTGGTCAATAGTGGCCATACTGGTTACACTGGTTATAGGGCTTATACTGGTCTTACTGGATCATACTGGTCACACTGGTTATAGGGTTTTTACTGGTTGTACTGGTTCATAGGGTTTATACTGGTTATACTGGTCATACTGGTTATAGGGTTTATACTGGTCATACTGGTTATAGGGCTTATACTGGTCATACTGGATCATACTGGTCACACTGGTTATAGGGTTTTTACTGGTTATACTGGTTCATAGGGCTTATACTGGTTATACTGGTCATACTGGTTATAGGGCTTATACTGGACATACTGGTCATAGTGGTCATACGGGTCATAGGCCTTATACTGGTCATACTGGTTACTCTTGTTATAGGGCTTATACTGATCATACTGGTTATAGAGTTTATACTGGTTTTACTGGTTGTACTGGTCATAGGGCTTATACTGGTCCATGCTGGTCATACTGGTTATAAGTCTTAAACTCAGGATACTGGTCATACTGGTTACACTGGTCATAGGGTTTATACTGGGGATGCTGGTTATAGGAGTCATACTGGTTATACTGGTTCATACTGGTCATGGGGCTTATACTGGTGCATACTGGTCATACTGGTCCCCCTTCCCTCCCCTGCAGGCAGAACTGCATCCTGGCGGACGAGATGGGGCTGGGCAAGACCATCCAGTCCATCGCCTTCCTGCAGGAGGTGGCGGCGGGCGCCGTGCGGGGCCCCTTCCTGGTGATCGCGCCCCTGTCCACCATCACCAACTGGGAGCGGGAGTTCAACACGTGGACCCACATGAACACCATCGTCTACCACGGCAGCCTGGCCTCCCGCCAGATGATCCAGCAGTACGAGATGTACTGCAAGGACGCGCGGGTACGGGGCCTGCCGGGGCCAAAACGGGGCCTGCCGGGGCTGGACGGGGCCTGCCGGGGGGCATGGATCGGCGTGGGAGGGGGTTTCGGGCCTTGGGTAGGCTTCAAAAGGCTTGGTAGGCCTCGGAAGTTGGGGAGGCCTGAAGGATTGGGTAGGCCTCAAAAGGCTTGGTAGGCCTCAGAAGTTGGATAGGCCCGAAAAATTGGGTAGGCCTTAGTGGGCCTCAAACATCTGGGTAGGCCTCAAAAGTTGGGTAGGCCTCAGAGCCTTGGTAGGCCGCAACCTTGGTAGGCCTTGGAAGATGGGGAGGTCTGAAGGATTTGGCAGGCCTTAAAAGCCTGGGTAGGCCTCAAAAGCCTGGGTAGGCCTCAAAAGCCTGGGTAGGCCTCAGTAGGCCTCAAAAGCCTGGGTAGGCCTCAGTAGGCCTCAAAAGCCTGGGTAGGCCTCAGTAGGCCTCGAAAGCCTGGGTAGGCCTCAGTAGGCCTCGAAAGGCTCTGTAGGCCTCAAAGGGGTTGGTAGGCCTCAAAGAGCTTGGTAGGCCCAAAGGATTTGGTAGGGCTCAAAAGCCTTGGTAGGCCTTAGTAGGCCTCAAAAGCCTGGGTAGGCCTCAGTAGGCCTCGAAAGCCTGGGTAGGCCTCAGTAGGCCTCGAAAGCCTGGGTAGGCCTCAGTAGGCCTCGAAAGCCTGGGTAGGCCTCAGTAGGCCTCGAAAGCCTGGGTAGGCCTCAGTAGGCCTCGAAAGCCTGGGTAGGCCTCAGTAGGCCTCGAAAGCCTGGGTAGGCCTCAGAAGTGGGGTAGGCCTCAGAGCTTTCATGGGTCGCAACCCTAGTAGGCCTCAAAAGCCTTGGTAGGCCTTAAAAGCCTTGATAGG